TTTGGAAATTGGATTCCACACTTATAAATACCCTTTGGTCAAAAAAGTCTAGGAAGAGTAGAAAAATATTTTTTTTTTGTAGAGACAGAGTCTCACTTTATTGCCCTCAGTAGAGTGCCGTGGCATCACACAGCTCACAGCAACCTCCAACTCCTGGGCTTAGGCGATTCTCTTGCCTCAGCCTCCCAAGTAGCTGGGACTACAGGCACTCACCACAACACCTGCCTATTTTTTTGTTGCAGTTAGGCTGGGCCGGGTTTGAACCCGCCACCCTGGGTATATGGGGCTGGCACCCTACCCACTTTTCCATAGGTGCTTCCCTAAAGTAGAAAAAAAAAATTTTTTTTTGCAGTTTTTGGCCAGGGCCAGGTTTAAACCCGCCACCTCTAGCATATGGGGCTGGCACCCTACTCCTTTGAACCACAAGTGCTGCCCAAGTAGAAAATATTTTTAACTGAAAAAAAAATGAATACAAAATGTATGAAATGTAGCTAAGATTGACCTTGAGCTAAAGCTAGGCAGATGAGGAAAACAGACAAATGAGCAAGATCTGTAATGAATGGGGACAATCACAATGCAATAAATTTGACACTTTAATGAAACTGACAATGTCCTTAAATAGACAAGCTACTGGCTCAGGGCTGGTAGCACAGTGGTTACAGTGCCAGCCACATACACCCAGACTGGTGGGTTCGAACCCAGCTGGGCCAGCTAAGCAACAATGACAACTGCAACAAAAAAATAGCCAGGTGGTGTGGTGGGCACCTGTAGTCACAGCTACTTGGAAGGCTGAGGCAAGAGAATCACTTAAGCCCAAGAGTTTGAGGTAGCTGTGAGCTGTTACACTACGGCACTTAACTAAGGGTGACATAGTGAGATTCTGTCTGAAAAAAAAAAAAAAAAAAAAAGGCTACCAAAGCTCATTCCAACAGCAGATAACCTGAATAGCTGTATATCAAAGAAATTGAATTGAGGTTCAATTGTAAATTGATCAATTATAAATTTCATCTGCTGGGTTAGGTAGACAAAAACAAGATAAGTGTAGTACTTGATATATTTATAGTAGAGAGTAACCCAGTTTTCCTCTCTCACCTTAGAGTTGATTTTTCTTACCCTTCATAATTTTTTTCTTGAAGCAAGGAGGGAAGACTTCCTCCTATCTTATTAATTTGAAAATTATTACCTGAATTCCTTAGTAGCTACAAAGCTACTTTGAAGTGAGCTCTGTTTTGATACAGCTAATGAAACAGATTCAGACATATCTTTTTTAGGGGGGGACAGGAAGTAGGATTTATTATTGATAGGTGCAAAAGAGAGGCAGCACAGAGGAGGTCCCCATGAGTTCAGGGCCCACCACTTGTCCAGGGGACCACAACTGGGGATGTAATTGACCCCACAGCCATCTGGGGTGAGCCACTTCTCAACCACCATGTCTTTCCAATAGCTGTTCGCATAGTAGGCCTTGGCTGTCCTCAGTCTGCCCCAGACAGGTATACATGGTGCCTTTGGAAAGTTCCAGGGCACTGTGGCCAGCCTTGACATTGGCAAAGTCATCTTGTCCATATGCACCAAACTACAAAACAAGAACCATGTGGCTGAGGTCCTAGCAGGACTTGTCTTCTTGAAAGTAACACTCTGGGAGGCTGAGTTGGGCAGATTGCTGAAGCACAGGAGTTGGAGGCCAGTCTGAGCAATAGCAAGACCCGTCTCTACTAAAAATAAAAAAACTGAGGCAAGAGGATTACTTGAGCCCAAAAACTTGCGGTTGCTGTGAGCTATAATGCCATGGCACTCTAGTCAGGGCAGCAGAGTGAGCCTCTGTCTCATAAAAAAAAAAGAAAAAAGAGAGAGACCAGCCTGCCAGCCTGAGCAATAGCAAGACCTAGTCTCTACCAAAAACAGAAAAACTAGTGGGGCATGTGACAGGCACCTGTATTCTCAGCTACTCTGTAGGCTGAGGCAAGAGAATCACTTGAGCCCAAGAGTTTGAGGTTGCTGTGAGTTATAACGCCATGACATTCATACCCAAGGTAACTGGGTAAGACTCTGACTCAAAAAAAAAAAAAAAGTAACATGATTGCAGGACAAGGTAGCATAGAAAATCACGTTACTTTTAGTAGAAGAAATATGAAAAGGAAAAGGACACCAGCCTACTGGAAAGAGCAGAGACAAGCTAAATTTGTTATACAATAAAATGTGTGTGGCTCAAGTGGCTAAGGCACCAGCCACATACACCTAAGGTGGTAGGTTCGAATCCAGCCTGGCCTGCCAAACAACAATGATGGCTGCAACCAAAAAAAAAATTAACCAGGTGTTGTGGTGGGCACCTGTGTTTCCAGCCACTTGGGAGGCAGAGGCAGGAGACTCAATTGAGCCCAGAAGTTGGAGGTTGCTGTGAGTTGTGATGTCACAGCACTCTACCCAGGGGGATAGCTTGAGGCTCTGTCTCAAAAAAATAAAAAGATGGGTTTATAGTCAAATACGTGGTTCTTCTATCATGTGTAGACAATGATGAGAGGCTCAGTGCCTGTGGCTCAAGTGGCTAAGGCGCCAGCCACATACACCTAAGGTGGCAGGTTCAAATCCAGCCTGGGCCCGCCAAACAACGATGGCTGCAACCAAAAAAATAGCCAGGGCGTTGTGGCAGGTGCCTGTGGTCCCAGTTACTTGGGAAGCTGAGGCAGGAGA